GCCCACCCGGCGGGGCTCCTGATCTAACAAGGGCTACTAGCCAGCCAGCCAGGTGCAACACGTAACACTTAAAATCATCGGGACAGATTACAGCATGCATGATCACACTCCTAACGAGTACAAGCACATCTCAGCTCGGCACAGCGCCTGGTTGAATCATCACCCTAGTATCACAACTGGTTACCTTGTTTATCAGCGGTTATCCTGCGGGTTTCTGTTTATATTGCTAGATGTCAGCAGAACCAATTTGAGCATTTCTGTTGATTAGATGATCAGTTATCTGGTAGTTCTACGGTCATTATTTGTGCTCAAATACTTTTAGGCACTAGCTTTCATAAGTAGCGCAGACTTTTTCCCCCACTTTTCCATACTTATTATGACGGCAAGCTGCGTGTCATTCATAGTGGCGACCAAAAAACCGAATTAGGCCTAATTTCACCGGACGCTATGCTTATAAAACAACTCTCGGCCAGCGGCATTCAGTTCGGGCAATTCTACTCTCCCCCCCACCCGATTGGCTACAACGATAGGAACGAATAGGCGAGTTGCGAAAAGTAGTTCAGAAGACGATATGATTGCCGGAACAGGAGGTTTTGACTTTGTGCCTGCCTTCTTTACCCGAGCGTGAGTGAAAATCCGAAACACGTCCGAAAAGTAAACATCTTGCTCCAATGGTCACATCTGGGCACCTGAAACCGCCTACTTCTTCGGGCTGGCAACCTTTACGCGTAGAGGGGTGTCTTCTGCTTAGAGCTGAGGTCTGTGAGTGTTACAACGGCATTACCTTTTCCTAGCTGGGCGATATCATCAGCATAGTCAAGATTGGTCAGCTGAAATCTGGTCACTACTTCAACGCTACGCAGAGAGACAATTTTCGGGAATCCAGTCATTGACGTGATTACTGACAAAATACACCTCTTTAAAACACATAGCAGCTTATAGAATGTTTGCAAGTGTTCATGTTTTTATCAATGGCAGTAACCTTGGCTGGGTAATAAAGGATGTTACTTGCTTGCAATACACGTCATTCAGAGGCAAAAGTCGACTGCAAAGTTTCACTACTAGGCTTTAGCAACAAAAACCAAAATAGGGGACCTTAAATGGTTCAAAATTGCCATGGCTAAGTTAACCTTGTACACTGTGCGGCATATCGCGTCAACGTCCCCCCGCCAAAAGACTGTATGTGCTCCATGAAGGCAAACATCACTTGCCTTGTCATTCCCCTAAATAAGACACCCGTGTTGTTTTCACTCTTTTTTTTTCCAGAGCCGAAACTCTTTCAATGTGACCAGTGTCGATTTCGTTTTGCAACCTACGTGGAGCTCCAAGTGCATTTCGATTACCTGCACATGAGTAAGTGTGACCTTGCGGGGGCGTTTTTTGGGGACAGTTCTCTCCATTCTTCTCCTCCACCACACTTTATTTCACTCACGAAAAAATCGCATCCTCACTGCTGATTACGTTAGAACAGGCTAAAACGTATTTTTC